CGGATAGAAACAGGATAGACGTGGCGGAGACTGGAGCTAGTTGGCTGATCAAAGGATCGGATTCCCTTGTTTTTGACGCGTTGCTGTATGGTGCTAAGAATGGCAAGACTCATTGACGATGTAAACTACGATGCTGGCGAAACGTCTTAGAATGTACCACGTCGACGGTCCGACTCTGGTAATTATTATATATACAATGGACTCCGGACTAGGTGCGTTCTTTTTTGTCTTCATATCAATATGACCAATTTGCGAAAGTAAGGTTTAACTACTTCTTTATATATTAGTAGTTTATGCATACTGGATTATCAGTATCTCGTATTTTTCCATTTAGTTTCCAAACGTAAAATTATACATTGTATACAATAAAAACGATACGAGTATGATAAGTGGTGATTACAGCAAGTGTATGCGAAATTCTAGTTTACTTTAATATGAGATGTATTCACCCTATTTCGTTTAAGGTAATAAAGGACTGGTTGTAGAATTTTACCACAATGATATGAGTAGAGCTGACGTTTCCATTGAATTTCACATAGCCTTGATTTCCCAAAAGTTGTTCTTATTCAGACAGAAGTTGAATGCAGTTTCGACTTTGCATAGGCCTTATCAACATCCCCAGCTGCAGTCGAACCGTGACAGTGCAGAATGGGAGCTTGAAACGTTAACCACTCGACCACATTGTCACGAGTGCCCTTGGGTCATAGGGCAGATGTGAATTTCAAGGAAGGCCGATGCGAGGTCAAAACTGCAGTCCACTTCTGTTGGGATGAGAACAACTTTTGGGAAAGCAAGGCTATGTGAAATTCAATGGAAACGTCAGGTCTACTCTTATCATTTTAGGAAAATTCTACTACCAGTCCTTCATTGCCTTAAACGAAATAGAGTGAATACATCTCATATTACTGATTTACTGGTAGTCTTGAAACTCTATTTAAATACTAAAAATAGTTTACTTTACTAAGGGTTGCACCTACCAGGCAAGGCTTGACATAAGATTTTTCGCACATATGATCGGTTAAGATTTCTTAAATGCCATTGGGTGATCATATGATGATCTTTCTTGCCTCGTCTGATATTCGTTATCTTTGATTTTAAAAGGCTAATACAAAGCAAAAAGTGCAGAATGAAATCATAATACATTATGGAAAGCGACATTACATTCAAATTACAGAGTATGTAAGCCCTCAGATAATTTGTCCGAACCCCTTCTAATTCTCATTACCTAACTGAATTTAAATTATACCAGAGCAAAATTAGCCTTTTGGGGCCAAATATCAGACTGTTTAAAGTTAGATATAGGCTAAATAAAATGAACCGTTGATTTCCTCATTACCTAGAAGAATTTGCATTTTATTCAAGATTTAATATATTTGTCATTTATTCCTACAATTATAAATAATACTGTATCTAAACCTAATCAATAAGTGTATAATACTTTATAGTCGAGAGTACACAAATGAATTATGAGAAAATATCATTTTAGGCGAAATCTTCGAGTAGATTCTACTGTAAAAGCCAAATCAGGCAAAGAATATGGGACTTAAGTTTGATCCTCCTATGCTCAGACCTAAACCAGGCTACGTTTTTTATACATTTACCGAGGTTATTCCAAGTAGTTCGATATGCATATGCTTAATGTTCCATGGTTTTGGGCCAGGCCTTATCTACAAGCTAGATAGACTCCATAAAAGAATTTTTCGTTTTATAGTTTTCGATTAAGCCCCAATAGTGCATTTGCTATGGCGGAACAGTTTACTCTCTTTATGTGTATCCGGTATAAACATCTAGTTCCAAATTTAATCTCTTTTATCATGCTCTGTTAGGCTGGCTTATTTGCAGTTTAGGAGAGGAACAATTATTCCCGAGCTTTTTGACATTAAGGTCGCAATGCAATTGTTGCCTCTCTTGCGGAACAGTAGTTTCCGCAACTTATTTATGTTTGCTATTTCGTTGCTGAATTTGCTTATTTGCACATCGTGAATTAAATACTGTTATAAAACTTTACTTCGGCCTGGCTATATTTGGTGATAGATAATGATTCACATTACAGCAATTTTAACTTGACCCATAAATAAAATATTGCTTGAATCAAAATGGTATCTTTAATAAATAATTTTTCACGAGGAAATAGTTGTTTTTTTGGTGACACTATTATTATTCATTTATGGTTATATTAAACTCCTGCTTTTGTATTCTTCCCTTTGCACACGATTGCGAACCCTGTGAATCAGCTTGGAGAACTGGTGGAGGTAACTGACTTTATACCACCAGGAGTCAGTGTCAACCAGGCTGCTGCAAGAGTTGCCAAATATCGCATCAATACTTGGTCGCACTCACTACTTGGTGTGTAAGCTGTTTGGAAGTCTAATTTGGGTAATTGGAATGATAAAGGCAGGAAATTAAAACCTCTTAGATGTACCACGGAAGCAGCCAATTTTTTTTAGACGCATGGCGAAAGAATAGGTTATTATGGGAAAACTAAGTTATTATAAGGTAGAAAATATGCAGTTAATTTTCATACCTTCAGAGTTAACAAAATATCAGTTATGTAGCACTTACCTACCATCACTTATTATACCAAATTCTATTCATTACTTATCTGTTGCGCTCACAGCTTCATAAAAATGCCAGAGGAACCTTGGCGTCCGTGATGGACGGTGGCTGTTGCTAAGAGACCATTGCTTTGCATTCAGGGGCTATGCTCTGTTTTCCAAGTAGATTTGGGATAG